TGCTTCAGCAGAGAGAATCACTTTCTTCACCATGCCATACAAAATCAGTTGCTTAGCTTCCACATATAGTAGGAGTTGGCTTTCCAGTGCTATTTAGTGGTTTGCTGGTGAGGGAACTGTACAGTTACAAGTATGAGAGGAGCGTTGAGAGGAGCACGGCCAAGGTAGACATCTGGAAACAAAAAGGCACATAAGTTGTAGCAGGTTCTCGAAGGTTCCTGTCCAGCTGTAAAGAGAGAATTAGTTCCATTTTGCATCAAAATGTTTTATCTGTTTTCTCCTGCTGACTTTTTGAATTACTTCTTTTTTTAATTGAATTTCAGTCCCTCGTACAACTTAGTTTGTATAAGGGTTGCGATTCACTTAAAATCCTTAGGATGGTAAATGCAGTGCATTTTAGCTAAGACATGTCCTAGACGTTATTAAGGCTAACCTCTATTTACAACTCCAAATCCTTAGCTTAAGTCACTTGAGGAAACTTAAAGGTATTGGATGCTTAATAGAAACCCATATTTACCTTTAAATATTCCAGGAAAATGGATATTCAACCCCTGAATTCTTGACCTGTGTAACCCAAGTGAATTCTAAATAAACCCCACCATATCTATAGATGTAAACTGGATTTTAAAGTTGTCTTTTTCTTCCTGAATGTGAGGAAACATACTGCAGTATGAGACATGAATTCTGGACGTTGTGGGCTTGTGTTGATTTGACTTGTGTGTATTTTAGTGCTCATTATACAAGGCTTGAAGTCCTCCTGTGAGGAGACTCTGAAAGTTCTGTAAACTATTTATAGGATTACAAACTCTTTTGCAGCAAATTGGGTTTGTTTTTTGCTCATTCTGTAATATGAAAGTCTATTGTTAGATTAAACTGTTCAAGAAGTTGACTTGGAATTTTTCTGACGGGTTTTTTTCTTTCCATAATATGCTTATTTTCATTTATCGTTTAGAAAACCAACACTTAACTCATCTTGGAGTAATATCGAGCTGTGAGAACATCTGAGAATCCCTGGATTTGTCTTCAATTTTGTTTCTTAAAGGGGTTGTGTTTTATACTACCTTTTTAATAAACAAACTCATGAACAAAACAAGTCTTTTCTGATTAGTTTTGAGATCATGTATTTGTCTTTTTTTCCCCTCAGTCGAAGGTACCATCTCATTTGGTGCACAGTGACTTCAGTTTATTAAAGCCTGAATGTTAACATGCCAGAGGTTCCCAACTGGAGGCCAGTACACGTGTTGCTGGAACTGTAAGTGTTCACGATAGCAGCTTCCAGTGTCTGAAGGGGGTTACAAGGGTGCTGCAGAGGGACTCTTCATCAGGGACTGGAGTGACAGGACAAGGGCTGATGGGTTCAAACAGAAACAGGGGAAGTTCAGTTGAGATACAAGGAAGAAGTTCTTTGCTGTGAGGGTGCTGAGGCACTGGCACAGGGTGCCCAGAGAAGTGGTGAATGCCCCATCCCTGGCAGTGTTCAAGGCCAGGTTGGACAGAGCCTTGGGCAACATGGTCTAGGGTGAGGCATCCCTGCCCATGGCAGGGGGTTGGAACTGGACGATCTTAAGGTCCTTTCCAACCCAAACCATTCTGTGATTCTGTGGTGGGACATGGTATTTGTTCCCTCTGTATGGCTTTTTTTTTTAGACCTCAGTCTGGATTGGTGTGTGAATAGACCCTGAGTGAAGATAAAAGGAGCAGGAGGAACACCTGCAGACACCGTAGTTACAGGTGATATTGTGGAATTTCGGGTTTTTCTTTGTTAAGAACAAGCAGAATTTCATTTTTTGTTCTCAGAAATTAAGATTTTAATGGTTTTTCTTCCTTCAAGGCTTGACACAGTGCTTAAAAAGTTCTGGAAATCAGCTGGTTTAGTTCCTATACCACAAAGGAACAGGGTGTTCACCTATGAGCTTTCAATTGATGCTATCCTGTACACAAGTGCTTTAACTTAGAGGGAATTATTAAATGAGGCCTTGAAAAGCTTTAGCAGAAGAAATCTTATGTATGGAACAGTTTAGATTCATTCAAAGAATGAATGCTGAAGATGTTGAAGGCACTTGCCCTGCTGATAGATGGAATCCAGCCTGTCTCACAGTGGAAATGTGCTTATGCAAAGAGTGTGTTGATG